ACAGAACCGCAACATACCACAACAATTTGCCATTTGTGTTTGAGTGATAGTGTTTGCGTTAAGGTCATTATTCGGTTTGAGTGAAGAGAATCGAACAGATTCCGCAAATCTGGAAGTCAGTGGTTGCCAAATTCCAAAGGCCAAACGGCTTCTGATGGATTCTGTTATGGTCCATGCACATTGCCATGAGGTTGGAGGCCGTCGCATGACCAGCACTTCTGACGCGTTTTCTTAAGCGTTTGTGGTGATGTTCGCCTTTGAATTCCCCAGGAGCTGGTTCGAGTGATGACAGCCAAGCGCACCAACGTCTACAAGCCCCTCGACCAATAGCTGCGCCAAAAATGGACCTGGTGGCAGAGTGAGGGATGTCCTCGCTTCACGAATTTGGGATCCAGATTTGGCTGTTAGGGGTTTGATATGGCTCGATGTCTGGCTCTGAATCCAAATCTGACTCGATGGTGCAGGATTCATTTCGATGGTGCAGGATTCATGATTCCAGCTTTGCTGGTGAAACATGGTAAAATGAGTGCTGCAAGACCTTTCTCTTTCCCAAGTGGCATCGTGTGAGATTGCGCAGCCTTTCGAGATTGCGCAACCTTGCTGAAAGCAGTGGTGAAACCGCACTCATCGCAGACTTGGCCTGGAACTGAGGCTACGTCGGCGGCCTTCAGTGGAGAAGGCTCAACGCTTTGCGGAGAAGATTTGGGAGGAGGCTGGATGTGACGGAAGGCAGAAGGCTGGGCATCCAGGCACCAGAATGCTTGTTGATCCAATGGGCTCCAAAGTGCTTCGGAATTACATGTTGTGAGTTAAAACTGGTGAATCAACCTCAAACATCTATTGCTTTGTTGTTTGCTTCAGAGGCCGTCCTGTGGCCAACTGGCCCGTTCCGAAAGGGGGGGTCTGATGGGTTCTGCCTGCTTCGATCCCTGTGAAAACATGTCTCCAAATTGGGTTCATTGGCACCGCAATTGACCCGGTGGACCTTTGTTGGACGGAACAGGGTGAGGAGGACTTGAGCAAGTCTGTTTGAGTACCTGTAGCGAAAAGACTTTTGGACTGTACAGTCGGACGTGTTTGCAGCTCCACCCATCTAAGGGCTACTACCCAGAATCCTTCCAACTCACAACGAACTGTTCTTTCCTGTGATATCATTGACTGGCTTTGGGGCATGCATTGTTCGATTGACAGCTGGATGGGGCAAGCGCCCTTTGTGCCATCATCCTCAAACGCGTGCTGCGTACAGTCAGTGCATTGTCAGTTGGTACAGTCTTCCTCACGCTCGCGGTACGCCTTGGTTTTGTTGACAGGAGAGACGTTTGGGCACCTTTGAGGTGGCATCCTTGCTCCTAGTAGCAAGGAGCCCCTAGGCTATTTGCTCCTAGTAGTAGCCCCTAGTAGCATCCTTGCTCCTAGTAGCAATGCCCTTTGTTCCTAGTAGCTATTTGCTCCGTTCGTAGTGCCAGGATCCCCGTTCGGTTCGCGTCCGTTGCTCCGTCCGAATGGGGTGGTCCGCCAGGGGTCCACGGTGAGGGCGGGAGCGAGCAAGGACGCGAACCGAACGCAGCTCCTGGCCAGACTACTAGGAACAAGAAGCTACGAAGGGAGCAAAGGGCATCGCTAGGAGCAAGGACGCTACTAGGAATGGGGTGAGAGACTCTGTATCAAACGCCAACTGGAATGAGTCATGGATGCAGTTTTCTCACCGCTGTGCAGTTCACTCCATCGAAATCGAGCCCCCAGGCTTGTGAGCGGAAACGTGAGTCGGAGAATCGCAGGGAGGAGATCCAGGAGAAGCGAGCCATGGCACATGGGAGATGATGGAAGGGTCAGGTGAATTCTACAAGTTTCAGGCGAGCGCAAGCCTTAAGCAGTACTGGTACAGTATATGTGACGCAGGTTGCTGGTTCATAATGGCACAAGGAAGTTGCTCGAGGAAGACCTCTTGTTTGAACATGCCAAACCAACTCGATCCATATGATGATTCATTATTTTATTTTTCAGCTCTAGCATTCATAATATACATTTGATAGGGTGCTAAGTTGAGATACATTGAATGGCGGCCAGTTGCATGGGTAGTTGCCTTTTAAGCCCGAGCTCCACAGGCTCTATATACAAGAAATCCTGGGCTGAGGAGATCTGCATGCTAGTCCTTTGGGTCATTCAGGAAACCAAGAATCTGCGAGAGCTTTAGGTCATTCTTAGAAGGAGAACACCACACACATCCACACCCAAAATTGCCCAACATGATTAAACATGATTAGATATATCAGAAAGTATCAAGTGATCCCTGCCCTCAGAGCAATCCCACCATGAAGACATATATAATATGAACACCCAGTCACAGCAAACCTTCCCCCTAACTGTGACCCAACTACCTATATAACTACCCACCCCCTTCCCGTCACCTAGCTCCTTTCTCCCAGGCCGTAGCAAGAGGGAGGCACTCCACGTGCGCCAGCGCGAACGTCAGCAGCGTCGCCGCTTGGCCCTCTGGCAGCGCTGGCAGAAGGCGGCGCCCCGCGCCGAACGGCAACTGGCGCGGGAGCAGCAGGTCGGGGTCGAGACCGTCGCATCGATGTGTATACCTTTCCGACCTATACGGAAAGGTATAACAATTGGCTCAGGGGCCACTCTCCACTTCCGTGGTTGGAGAGTACAACTTTACATAAGGTCTTGATCGTTGTTTTTTCAATGTGTCTTGAGAATCGCACTTCTGGGATCGACAGGTGCAAGAGAAGATCTTGCAGAATCACCTTGCGCGAGAGTTGAAGGCGATCCGGAGGGAGCTGAAAGTACCAGACAGTCAGGTCATATCGAGCTCAAGTGCGTTTGTTGTTCACCAGTGGGACACCTGAACCAGTTGGTTCTAGTCTATGTTTGCCTTTCCAGCGTGTTTGGGGGGGCTTTCCTATTCGAATACATGCAAATTAAATTCCCATCAAATCAATACTGGCTGTATAGATTAGATGGAATGTCAGCATGTCAAACATGCCCAAAAGAAATCAAAAGAATTGTACATCTAGTCCTAGCTTCACAATTCACAACGCACCAAAAGCGCTCACACATACAGTCTGCGCCTCGCCACTCTCACTATGCCATCCTGTCAGCATTCAATCAGACACCATTCAGTCAAACTTTACGTTTCTCACTACAAACACCTGCAACCAACACCTGCAACCAGTCCATGCCTTTTTGGCTCCGGATCTCTTGTGCAACACTTAGGGTTCCGGGACCATGTGAAAGGGACCAAGTCGATCTTTGGACTTCGACTGGGGGAAAACATGTAATATAATAAGAATAGTAACGATTAATAACAATAATATCTCTATATATATATATAATCACACAATTTTGTTTGACACATCATTACATACAAACAAGAAGAACTTCCAACGTCGTTCCTTCCTTTCTTAAGTCCTTTCTTCTTCCGTTTCATCGGTTTTCTTCTATCCAACACCATTTCGTTGCATTAAAAAAAATAACGTTGAGCTGGACCTCCAGTGACGTCCCAGGCCATGCGCGCGGAGGACGCGGTGCAGCAGAAACTGCGGAGCGCCCACCGAAAGGTGGAGCTGGGACATCGATGGCAGCGGCGGAGGCTTAGCAGTGTGGCTTGGTGCCTTTTGTTTTCTTGGAGTTGCTGTTCAGCGGTTGATTTTTTTGAAAGCAACATTGACCAAGATGTGCGAAATGTCAAAGTCCTAAAGAGAGCTGAATTGAGATGCCCTGAAAAGATCCATGCTGTTTGACATTGGACATCTCCTCCCACCGATCCTCGGCTTCCGTGGTCAAACATCGACGCCGGGCTTGCCCCCTTCGAGGAGCGGCACCTTCGACATCTCACCTTCGCACAGCAACAAGCGCTCGGCGCCGAGCTGCGGTGGAAACAGCGGAGCGGAGTGGAGGGGAGCAGCGTGGAGCCGCATCCAGCGGTTGTATTAGTTCATCCACCCTTCTGGAACGAAAGAACCAAGTCCTCTGTCAGACCTCTCAGATGCTCCCCTGTTTCCCACACATCCAGGTCCTCTCTGCAGAAACACTTCCTGGTGGCAGGTGGATCCAGGCGCGTTCCGCTTGGCCTACGACACCGAGAACATCAGCAACTACTTGGAGGCGGAGACGGGAGGGAGGGAGACGGGACGGAGACGATGAAGGAAACCAGCGATGGATCAGAGGCACAGGTTTCAGGTTTCGAACACATGGAAGGCCCCCGGACATTTGTGGAACCCAGGGCTATTCGTGGACGTTTTGTGGAATGGTGGGCCAGTAGCAAAAGTAAATAAAACCAATAACAGTGACAGCAACAAAACCTTCGCAAGACATCGTGGAAGGTTGTGGATGGTAGTTATTTTGATGCACTAACTTCGTATGAACTGAGGCAATTTTTGCTGAACCCCTTTCTCCGCACACCCTCCATTTAGCCTTCCATGGATTCTGCTGAGTAGTACGTACGTGTAACTAGGTATGTAAGTATTGTCCACAGTGAAGAAAGACTCAGCTGAGTCCATCGTGGGCTCAAGAAGGGCACTAGACTAGCTGTCCAGTTGTTCATCGTTCGGAACAAGGGCATTGCTACTAGGGCCTAGGGGCTCAACTGGCATCGCGAACCGAACGGAGCTCCTGGACGGAACCGATGCCCATCGATACTCCAGACGACTGGTTGGTCGTTTTCAGCCGCGATGTCCTGTCTGTCTTGTCGTCGTAGACTAGTGAGCCAACAAGATGGATTCACGACTGTCTTTTGCCGCGTTCGGAACCGCACCCTTGGGGCGAAAAATGCCAACCTTGGGGTGATTCAAGGATGTTCAACGATTTCTTCAGAAATGGCCGGAGCAAGACACCGGAGCAGTGTTTTCGGTGGGGTCCAAAGCCTGAAACCGGAGGTCCAAAGCTGTGCAAATCCTGCGGATCGGGCAAAAGTGATTAGAGTCTTCTGAAGTCTTCTAAAGTTGCAGGAGCTTGCAGTGGGCTTGCAGTCTTCTGAAGTCTTCTTTCTGAAGTTGCAGTTTTGGGCTCGGAGCATAGTAATCAACAAACTAGTCGCCAAAACCCTCCTCACGCCGATGGCTGAGTTCCGTAGAGGGTCAGGTTGGCGACGTGGGCGATCAGCTGATCAGCGATGAGCAACATAAAAGGTTTGGACGTCCGACGCGCGAATCCAATAGGAGAATTTGCAAACATGGATGAATTTTGATACATAATAATGTACATTTACAATAAGTTATGGACATATACTATATGGAGAAACTATATGTTTCTCTCACTTTCAATGTGAAAGTGTGTCCAAACACATCTTCCATTTCTCCAAGCTGGCGGTTCAGAAAGTATGAGGGTGCTGATGTCAAGAATGGTCCGAGGGTGTTGGTGAAGTGGGGGCCCAGAGACTCTGGATGTTGGTCAAGTGCTTGGGTCATGCCCAACAGAGCTGGCTGTTGACAACGACTAGCCTAGAAAAAAGGAAAGATATCATGTACCATGTAGACTCTTGATGAATCACAACCTCGATTTGGATCAAAAAGACCTCATATGGGGCCCAGACAATGGGGTTCGTAGGGGTTCGTTGGTTTTGTAATGAATCAACAGTGTAGAGCGCAACTCCAAGCACCAGGGTCCCCAGTCAGCCGCAGCCGTTCCACGCAGTGCGTAGACTCCGTAGACGTTGCCCTCAGGTGCCACCATGAGCAATGGCGTCCCGGACACCCAGCGTCGGATAAGACCTTTGGGTTTCACAAGTGGCCTCCGGTGTTTCCTCAGTTGCATCCTCAGTGTTTGTTGTTTTTCAATGGGGTTTCAGGTGGAACTCGTGAAGCATTCCAAAAGGGTTTCAGGTTGACTCATAGAGATGGAGTTAGGGATGATGGTGCGCTACCAATGCGTCACCAATGGTTGCTTGGGGAATCAAACAAATTGGTGTCTCACGTCACAGAAGTTCGTCGGTTGCAGAATCCTCCAGGGGCCAGGAGGATGAGTCACCTGTCGTTCTGGTGAATGATCCATCGATGGGTATGTCCACATCGATGGGTGTTTTTGTTGTTCCTCTCAGCTGTATCTCAGCTCACCTTGAGGCCAAGTCCGCTGTTGATATGATTGCTGGCATGGAGAAGCAGGCCCCCGGTTCTCTTAGGCACGACTTCTGGCTGGCTATGGACCAGCCACCTGCCGCAGATGGCAGAAGAAGGTAGAACGGTACGTTGTTTCGACAGTTGAAAAGAGATCGATCCCACGATAAAATCTTTGACATGGACACTCATGACAATTTGCATGTGGGAATGAACTGATTCACCTGATCCTGGTCATTCTGAATGGCCCTCGAAGCTGTGGAGTTGTCGATGAGTTTGCTGAAGTCGATGAGAAGTCAAGAAGTCGAAGTCTCGTCTCTTCACCTCGACTGCGAAAATCCTTCCGGGTTTAGGGTCGTTCGGCAAAGAGGAAACAACATATGCACCAGAAACGGGGTTTGGTTGCTTTTAAGATATTTTAAGGTTTTTAAGGTTCTTTCTTTCTTGTGATGTTCTGTCAGGTGTCTTTTGTCTCAACGGTATCCGGCATAGTTATATACATTGTTCTGATACTTTTTGTCGAGACGAGCCAAACAAAAAGTGATTCAAGGTTCAGATAATTCATGCATGTGTGTACACCTCCAAGACATAAGCATGTAGTTGAACAGGGCGACCCGTCGTAGTCTACTTTTCTCTACCAGCCAGCTTTCAGATTCCCTGTTTCAGGACAAGACTTTCCTCCGTTAAGGCTTTTGAGCTTCTGCAAATAGCTCCTATTCCCGCCAAAAGTGGGCATCACCAGTGGGGAAGTTTCACATGGGGCAAATCATAAGGACTTGACCAGTGGTACTCAGATTGCCAGCTTTTGTGAAAAGATTGCCCACTTTTGTGACCAGTTGATCACTTGACCACTTTGTGAAAAGAACAACAATGTAACCCTTCTGATCCTTCTGCTTCATCTTACAATCAGCTTGTGACCTTCCCTCGTCCGCTTCCAGGAGAGGATCCTGGTGATCGATTTTGGGTCCCAGGCGTGGGTTCGGTTCGGAAGAGTTCAGTGAGTACAGGCTTCCAACCGTTGGCCTCGTCCTCTTTCGTTCAAAACGTCCCAGGAGGACATCAGAAACCCTGAAAAACCTCCTTAACCATCCCAACAATGCTTCAAAGAGATGCAAAGAGGTCAGGGTTCTCATATTTCATCATATTTCACTTGATGTGTGCCTTACTAAAAGATTTTTGCTGCAACTTCCCCTGAGTTCTCATCACCACATCCTGTCGTGCTCTCGTCCTGTTGAGCCTTTTGTGCCCACGATGAAGGGTATCCATGTGACTTTCGGCGAATGCCAGGACTCACAAGAAGTACACTCAACCCTAGGATTTGTGGTCCACCATTGTTTTTAGCCTACAACACCAGGCCAACCTTGTTTCAAATGGTGTTTGAAAGCTAAGGCTCAGGGAATTTCATCCATCCCTTTTTGACATTTCCACACCCAGCGAGCAGTACTGCTCCGCACTCAGAATTGCGTGTCTCCTGAAAGAGCAGCAACATAGCTAGTTGGACTTACCTCTGGCCAACATGTCGGGGGCTTTGCACCTTTGGACCACGCAAAAAAGTTTTCAAAAAAGATAGAAAAAGGGTCCTTCTCCATTGCACTCTGTTTCACTGCCAGGAGCCCCTAGTAGCAAACATTGTTCCTATAGTAGTAAGGCTACGAGCCCCTAGTAGCGTCCTTGCTCCTAGTAGCGATGCCAGGAGCCCCTAGTAGCGTCCTCTTGTTCCTAGTAGCTTCTGTTTCACTCCTCATACCTCACGCGGAGTTTTCAGGTGAGCCACCTGATTTGCCGCCGCGTGCGAGAAGCGGGCGTCTATTGCGAGCTGAGGTGGGGGAGGTCGATGTCTACTTTCGTGAAGTTGTCGAGCGAAGGTTGTTTTGCATGTTTATTTTTTTTTGTTTTAACATATCTTAATTTATAGTTTCTTGATTTTTTTTTTTGGAATTCCCACTTTGTTATGGTGACAATCGATCCCTGTTTCTGGCAGATTTAAGTAATTGACTTTGCGTTTGAGTTGTGCCGCGAGTTGCATGTTTGACATGTATCGAAACCGGTTGCACGGATGGGATCCGTACAGCAATCTTGATGTAGACTTTCAGGTGTACCCAGGCTGGTGTTTGCCTAGATCCAGAGAGGTAGGACCTCTTTGCGGATGAGTAGATGTCATTGTGATGTTCTTCCTTTCCTTCCCTCCTTTCCTGAAAGAAGAACATCACCCAAGTGATGATCAATTTTGTACCCCAAAGAGTTGAACCTGAGAGAAACTCCTAGGACCTGGGCTTCTCTCATCTGGCATTAGTTATGCATGTGTCCAACATCTTCCACTCTGAAACTTGGGAAAATCGAAAACACTCCAAGTTCCATGCGTCATTGAATAGCTTCCGAGATCACGAACGGTGGCCCACCTTGCTCGGGCTTCACCGTCGTGTGGAATCACCCAATTTGAGATGGTACCACGATGTGGTACCATGCAGCGCAGCAAATTGGCGCCATTTGGGTGAGGTCGTGCTTGCTGAAGTTGGATGATGTCACCAGTTTCCATCCCAATGGCATTATCCTTAGCCCGGAGCCCAGAGTTGGGAGTTATGGCAGGCTACGCATGGGGCAGACATGGGCAGACTCAGGATTTTGGGAGGAAGTAGAAAAAATGACGACCACACTGGTTTTCTCGAAAGGTGGCACGGGTGATACAGGGTGACAGAGGTGACTGGGCTGAAGAACTTGCCCAAGTGCAAACTTACCACCTGCGACATGTGGTTCGCAATCTGCATGGTTCTCTTCAGACTGCGACAGTGGAAAGTCGCCTCGCTAGTCGATTCCAGCATGTAATATTTGAAGGTTTTGTACCTCCCACGTGTCTCTCATCGACGTTCGTCCTATCTGGGGTCTCGGTCAACCGAGATCGGGGGGGTCCTCGCCTCGCAGGTGGAGGGCCTCACTCTGTTTATGACAAGGAAGCCCCACATCTCAGCAAGGAGGCACGAGAGGAGCGAGAAGGATGTCCGATGGCACCTGAAGCAATGTCATTGTTGACCCAATGTGTGGGTTTCTTGCTTCTTATTCTTCATGTTGTGTCTTCTGAACATCACTGAAGCTGAGAAGCACTGTCTCAGCATTTTGCATATTGAATCGTAATCGTAATGGGTTATTGTTCTGTTTTTTTGAAGCAAGATGAAGCATGCTTGATTCTTGGTGTGGAATCTGCCCCTGTTTCGCTCGCACATTGCAGTTGCAAAGCCAAAGAAGTCTTCTGTAGAGACTGCAGCCATCAAAGCTGGGTGAGTGCTCAGATCTGGAACCACATCGATGAGAAGAAGTTGCCTGTGCTTTACCTCAGTTCTGCCTGGATTTTTTTTGCACTCGGCTGGGCACCGGTGGGTAGACGAAAGGTAGACGAAAAGAAACGCGGAGATACTGGTGGGCCGGTGGGTCAAAGATTATACGAGATTAAACACTTTGATTGGTGACATCACAGTTGGATGTGGCAGAGGGCTGAAGAGATTCTTCCTGACCATCCAACGCCAGATTGCAACATATGACAACAGGGCAAACAGGTCTAGTTTGAGGCTCTCTATCGAGCATTGCGGCACTCATTCAACAACTTCCTTCTGAGATATTTGCGGATCGGGGTTTGCACTTCAGAGGCTGTAGACCTTATTGATGCCACCTAGTGAGGCTGCTCAGAGATGTACAATTATATGATCATGTTCGACCACCATGCCACCATGGTTTGAATATGATCAAGACATATGAAATATGGGACCATGACAATCCAAGAGTGAGTAGGTGAAGTGATGAGATGTCTCATTGTTTTCTTACTTATTATATCTTGTTGATACACCCTATCCATATTTGTTTGACTCACCAGTGGGGGGACGCCCCCTATACATTGCCACCTCAAAAATATATATATATATATATAACACCATCTCTTCCTGTGAGTGCATTCCATCGGAAAGGTCTTTGGCATTTGCTATGGACAGCAGGACTGCTTCGTGCTGTGAGACCAACTTGTGGCCTCCAAAACAGACTGGGGCAGCATGGGGCAGCTCAGCTCTCCAAACAGACATAGCACTCCGCTCTTGGGTTCCGCTCTTGGAGAGATCCAGCCGTTCTTTTGGGAGACTTGTTGGTTTAGAAGTGGCTTATCCACCCATTGCAAAGGGCTTGAGCCTCCAAGTGGTTCCGACACTTAACCATTTGCAAATATTTGGAAGTGTATTGTTTTTGATTGTTGTTGCATTCAATTTAATCATGCTTAAACAATATATTGTATACCATATTTAATCGGAAACCATGGACGAGCTAACCTTGGTTGATGCCCACACAGCAGTTGGTTCAAAAGACACTTGCATCCATGAAATTGTAGATAATATGCATGCTTAAAGGATTTTATATGCCCAACAGATCCCATGAAAATCACTCTGAGATGAGATGACCCGGCCATCTTTGGTGCTGATGTTTGTGTACCCAATGGATCGGGCCGGATCACCCCGAGCGATCCATGGAGAAGCATTGATCCATAGGTGTGTCCACGCTCCTTAACTGATGTGAAGAACGAATTCCTTAACTGAGAGCTGAGCCGGCGCGAGCGAGTCACATCTGCAAGGAGATGTGCCACTTCTTGGGGGGGGAAGGTGGGGACGAAGGTCTTTTCTGGGCGGGAGCGCATCGGAGCTCCATCGGCATCGGGCACTTCTGAAGCCGAAGTTGGGATTCGACGTATTGGGTGCTTGGTGTGGGCTCCAAACACCCAGAGATACGGATATCCTAGGTCATGGGATCCTGGACTCATGGTGAGGCCAGAGTGTGGTGAGAGAAGGAAGAGTCGGAGGAGCCAACACCTTTTCACATATGGGAGCCCGAGACCACATCAACCCCAAGCAAGTCCAAGTGGGGACACTCAAGCAACCCAGTGCATGTACCTTCCATGCCTACCTTCCATGCCCACATTTACCATCCAACCCCATTGATGCCTGTTCCGGCCAGGCCGACCGAGAGTGCACCGATCGTTGAGTTCAGCCATGCAGACTTGCTGACTTCTTCGGAGTTCGGCCAGGTTGAGCCTGGAGTGAAGCGTGAGTTCGGCCACGCAGAGCTGCTCATCAGGCGGCCACGGGTGCTGGGCCTAGTTCGGGTGCTGGGCCAGTCGGTGGATGTGTCCGCGGTGCGGCAGCCAGTGGATGTGGAAGCAGAGAGTCGGGTCATGGAGATGTGATTGAAGATAGGATGGCAAGATTTGTGGATGATTCATAAACTATTGGCAAACTAGTACAAACGATATATATATATATATACTTCAGTATCTATTGATCTATTGATACGGTTCCCCAGCATTGATGGTCTTCGTAAAACCGCTTCACTTGCGGCTAGAAGAATCATCAGACTTAAACCCGGTTAAACCCCTACACACCAGACCTGGCCAGTCGGGCTGTCATCCATGTACGGAAGATGTGGCTCTTCCGTGCCAGGGAGGATGTGGCTCATTTGAGCGCTGATGGAACCAAGAAGATCAAGGGCCGAAGTCCCATCTTCGAGGCACGAGACAGATCAGTTTTTTTTTGCGTGCTGCAGGACGGTCGGTCTGTGTGTCTTTAGGCTAAATCAGCCAGGCATAGCAAGGCTCATAGCAAGGCTCACTGGCCGCCATCAGCCCAAGAGAGTGACCAAGGCATCAGCTTTGTGGCATTGCAACAGGTTGAAACCAGATGCCAGATGATGCAAGCAAAAGGGTGATAGTTGGGCCAATTCTTACCTAGCCAGCAGAGGTAGGGGACATGACGAGAAAGCAGGAGAAGAGGATACTTTTGACCCTGCGTGGATATGTTCACTTGCTGAATTATTCCAGCTTCACGCCTGCACGAAAGCCGTAAAACCTATTTGTTGGATGGATTCCTCCTCTGAAGATGCTCAAGACATACTGACGGCCAATCCGCCCGGGGGTTATGTTGTTTAATGCAGCTTGGCAAGAACCAAGGGAGATCTCAAGTGATTTTTGGAGCGGAATCGAAGAGTTTGTCCTTTCAGCATACTTCAGGTCAGGACAACATGGCGAATCCACATTCAGTTCAGTCTATTGTAGCTGGTTGGAGCTTAGTTAAGGTAGTACTCAGTAAGCCTTATGCTCCTCTCTCAGAGTTCCCCATGAACTCCGTGTGTTTGCGCCTCTGGGCGACATGATTGTGGCACTGACGACGTCGGATGTCCGAGTACCACTGATGTCGCTTCCCCCCGTTGAGTACCGAATCGATTGGCTGCTATTAGTAGCGTCCTTGCTCTAGTAGCGATGTCAGGAGCCCCTAGTATAGCTTGTTACTAGTTAAGTTTCCCTAAACATCTAGAAACCAAATCATTAGCGCGAGCTCCCCTGCGTCCAAGGTAGTAGCTACTTAAACTACTAGCGACTCCCTAGCTACTAGCTACCTCCTAGCGGCCTACCTCCCCTTAAAAGCAACAACAAATTGTGCTCAGTGACGTTTGGTTTGCCAGGGCATCAGCACTGAGCGGGTCCCAGTTTGGATGAGCCACGGTGACAAGGCGGGCAGTACATCCAGGACTGGGTGGGACGCACCGTCCGTCTTTGAACAGCCGAACTGGCGACGGAGGACCATGGGTATAGTGTTTTTACTGGGACTGGGTATAGGGTATATAGTAATTATGGTATAGTGACTTCTGGGCAGTTCCTGCTCTTTGAACCTTGTGGGGTTAGGTTCAGAAACAAACGAGGATAGAAGTAATTAGAGAAATAGCAGCCAAACAGGATGCTCCTTTCATGCCAGCTTTGGAACCACCTCCGCAATGACCTCAGGTTCGATTGCCACTTCTTCAATCAATCTTCTCTCATGGCCAGGTATGAATTAAGATGAATTAAGGTTCTCTATGTTCGATCGAAGCTGGCCAGACTGCATGAGATTCCCCTCCACCTGTGGATGGGTTGGACCTGACAATTTCTGGCAACGGGTTTAGTACTTTGACCCTCCCATGAGTGACTCGGGAAGCCACTGGACACAGTGTGCTGACCAGTGTGTTTTGCTCCGATGACATGCCGGTGGATGGGTGGATGAAATGATGCTGATGTTTGCCCTCAACCAGATTCATCCAGTTTGTAGAGAATCAGCATCTAGAAATAGTATGAAATAGTTCATGAAGTGACCTTCTATGTCCTTTGATCCTTTTTGGATGTGACGTCTTTTTGTAGCACGTGTTCTCGTCAGGTGACTCAGATTCCTTCGGGTTTCACCTCCATCGCCTATACCTCTAACACGGAGTATGCGGCTATTGAGGATCAGGCTGGACGGGAACAGCCGACGGGCTCTAAACGGAGGGGAAGGCAGACGGAGGTGGAGAAATGAACATATAGGAAAAAGAGAAAGCAAAGCACGTGGGTAATGACTGCTATTATAGAGTGAATCCCACTTACTGAGGTGTCTATTCTAATGCTGCAAGTCTTCTATCGGTCCCTCTCAAATGCAGTGGACTAAAGGATCAGAAGGGTGGGTGCACTGGGTATTCAGACGGTGGGTTGCTGTTCCAGGTGGTGCCTCTGGGGAGGGTGCACTGGGGATTCAGACAGTTCATGGGTCGTGGATGTGGATGAAACAAAAAGTCGGTGGATTTCCTCACTGTGAGGAAAACCCTAAATCTTCTTCCAAGGGATTTTGTTTAAGTCACACGTTTCAAGCTAACATCACATCGGAGTGTTTTATTGCCTGCAAACGCAGTAACATGTGTCTCATTTTCACGATTGCTGGACATTAAATCTTCAGTGAAATGAGCGTCTCCAACTTGCAGCAGTGGTCCCCAACGCGTCAATCGGTCACGTTCAATATTTCTTAGACGCTCAGCACCCACTAGGCGAAAAGCAATGATGGTTGATTGTTTGGGTGTGTCTTTGCACCATGTTCTGAGTGTTTGAATTTGTTGCATGTGATTGCAAAAGCTTGAAAGAATCTCAGAGCGCCCCATGATTGAACAGAAGATGTGAGTGTGTTTGTTGTATTTGGATGTATTTGAACACCGTCTCATCGGCATCGGACCTTCAAGCCCGCAAGCCTCGGAATCGGCGGCCGGATGCGATTTGATCAAGTGTTACCTCCAGTTTGAGTGTGAAGTACCTTGTTCAAGTTCACCATAGTGTTCAATCGCCGCGGCCCAAGCTTCGGGGTCCCGCCACACCTACCTGCAATGTCTGCCTCGTTGGAAAACTAGCTCTCCGCTACCACTGGCGTACGCGTCAGTGGTAGCGGAGCCCCTGGTTCTAGCTCCATGGACCGACCTACGCCAGACACGGTGGTTGAGGGCTACAGTGCCCAGACGGTGGATGAGTTCGCAGGGGATGTTGGCGATGCTGATGCCAGGCCTGAGGCTCGGAGAGAAAATGGTAGGGCGCCCTCGAGGCGCGAGTGGACAGACGAAGAGTGGGCCGAGTGGAATCGATGGTCAGGGGGATGGTGGACTAGGACGGGCAGCTACTGGTCGTCCTATTCCACTGGTGGGGACCAACCTGGACGGAGCAGTCAAGGACAGGCTGAGGCAGCTTCTCATCCTGCTCAGGGAGTGACTGCGCACGTTCCCGGACAAGATTCGCGCTCAGATCCTCTTCAGGTCTCCGACCCTTGGCGTTCCTACAGTGATGATCACTCTAGGTGGCGCCAAGGCTCCGACAAGTGGTGGTCTTCTTCGAAGGGAGATTTCTCAGAGCCTCCCACCTGGGCTGGATGGCAGCACTACAGGTTGTGGAAGAGGGCTATCCAACAATGGCATCGCAACACGGACGTGCAGATACATCGAAGAGCTGAGAAGGTGTTGAAGACCATGGAATGGAGCCTCCAGGAGAAGTTCGAGCACCTTGACGAGGATCGGCTTTCGGGACCGCAATACCTGGAGGACATCCTCAACATCCTGGACAATCAAGCTGGAGAGCGAGAAGATAGCGAGAAACGTCGCTCGGTGCGTGCCGCTTTGTATGAAGGCGGCCGACGGGGAGACGAAAGCTTGGCTCAGTACGCTGCTCGTCGGGACGCTCAGTTTCAGATGGCGGCACAACACCTCCAGCTTCCAGACGAGCTGAAGGCATACATGTTGGAGGAGCAGGCCAACCTGTCTAAGCAATCGGCCCAAAACCTTCGTGTCCTTACTGAAGGAAAAGCTGATTACCAGCGCGTGAAGAAGGCCCTCCAGGTCATTGACGTCGAAGGAGAATCCCTCTTCAAGTCCGGCAAGACGACGTTCTTCGAGACAGAGAACTACATGGCCTCCTCCCTCAACGAGGAGAATGACTCCGACGAGGACGACGACTTCCCGCCGGAGCTTCGCGACGAGATCGACGCCCAAGATATGGACGAAGAGCAGGTGATGAGTTTTCTTTCACTTTGGGAAGCGGGCCAAACAGGCCGGAAGCGAACCTGGAGTGAGAACAAGCTCTTGAAGGCCGCTCGCAAGAAGGACCGGAGGCATTTTGATGACAAAGGAGAGAGAGCAGAACGACCAGTCCCTCGCCGCAGGCTGCCAGTCTCCGAACTGAAAAAGATCACCAGGTGTAGCAACTGTGGCATGCGAGGACACTGGAGAGAAGAGTGTGTGAGGCCATATCGCTCCAGGTCAGAGCGTGAGAAGACCGAGGGTGGAATGAATGCCAATCCCTCCACCAAGGGCCCCTTGAACGCCTTCGTGTACCTCGGACTGGACGGGACCGACGCCTCCTCTTCCTTCAGTTCGTACTTTGGTTCATTTCTCTCACTCTTTTCCGTGCCAGCTGGTCATGCCATCATTGACCCCGGCGCAGCTCAAGATCTCATTGGTGAAAAGCACTACCAGCAGTTGACACGACGTCTTCGAGAGGTCGGCCTGCAGCCCATTGAGCTTGACGAGAAGCCTCCCGCTGCCTGTGGGGTCGGCGGAAACGCTACGGCCCTGAAGACGGCACTTTCTCCCTGCATTTTGGGCGGGAAGCCGGGAATCGTCCGGCTCATCGTCATCGAAGGGGACGTCCCGCACCTTTTGTCGATCGGTCTGTTAGAGAGAGCAGGCACGGTCATTGACACGTTTTCTGATCAGATAGCATTCAAGAATTTTGGAACGGAAGCCAAAATGAACAGGCTACCCTCCGGACATCGCACCATTGACATTGCCAAATGGGAAGGAGGCCCTTTTCCTGTGCCGCCAGAGGTACAGAAGGCCTTCAATCTTTTTCCCGGTGCCTTTAATGCCCCGGAGCCCGCCGTCGAGAGAGCATACATGGCTGCCTCGTCCGTGTCAGAGAGTGAACGAAATTTGGTTCTTGAGGCTTTAGGTCAGAGGAATCGAGAGGGCTGGACAACAGACTGGACCGGACGACCAGCACTTTGCATTCCCACTTGCTGTGTTTCAGGCAAGAGGTTCGAAGAGGTCAGTCATGAGTTGTGCGCAAGCTTCCCGTTCCGATCGTCATGGCATGTCGTTTTTCATTCAGATCGACCTCCATCTGTTTTTTCAAAGGAAACAAACGCTGCCTCACACAACGTCGATGAAGTTAAACGGGATCTCGCAACACAGATGGAACAGATAACTAGAACCGCTGTTAGTAAGAGAGGGGTGTTCATTTCCATTTTCTCGTCAACTCAGTCAAGGGAAACTAGCCTTGGCCGCTCCGATGCAGCCTCAAGCAAAGAAAGCCTGTTTGAGCGATCCTCACTCGATCCTCATGGCGTCTGCTCAGTCAGAAATGATGGAAGCCCGACGACGCGCTGTGCAGAGCACGGGGCCTCCCCCGGCTCGATGGTTTCAGATGACTCGAAAGATGTTGTTCCAACACCATGGGCCGGGCAACATCCCGGTGCCGCTCTTGGAGGACGGCACCTCGCCACCACTGGCGGGCCAGCGAGCGATCCCTCCTGCGGAACACTGCCCTCACCCCATCACCTCGGTTGCGACGGGCCGCAACCAGTATGGGGAATGGAAACGATGCGTGAAATGCTGCACCAAGATTCGCTTCCGGAGGTACGGAACGGCAGGAGCTCCAGCCGCGCCGCCCCCAGGGAAGAAGGCCTCTCGGAAGGGGACGACGGCGATTGCCTACCAGACCGTGCCGGTGCCAGTTCCTGTCCCAGCGATGGGGCCGCCGGCCGGAGCTTCCTCTTCGAGCGAGGGCATCTCCTCCATGGAGTTGAGGGCCGCGATGGAGCAGCAGTCTCAGGAAGTGATGGCTTCGACGACGACCACAATGAACCAGCTGCTGGGTCCGGTCATGGATGCCGTTCAGCAGATGTCCATGGCCCAGCAGCAGATGCAGGCTTGGATGGTCCAGCAACAGACCATCATGAACATGCAGGCCCAACAACAGGCCATCATGTCGCCTGCGATGGATCGCGAGATGGAGGAGGAGTGGGACGATGTTTTGCCGGAGGCTCGGAGCCCCGACGAGCGCTGAGAGTGAGGAAGACGCCCCAAAGTTTCACAGTTTTGCCTAGATTGAAGAATTTGAGCCTTAATTGTATAGATGCCTCTCAATGGTTCTTTTGCACTCTGGGCAGGGCTAGCTTGCGTATGATGATGTGTTCGGAAGTCACGAGTTGGTTCACTTGTTCGATCGGGGATCACCTCCTTCTCATCTTCTGTTCTCCCTCTTGGAAACTTGACTTCGACGCCGGTGAGTTCAGTGATTTTTGGGAGGTTCAGTTGACTCGTGCACAGAAACGCATCGTCACAGAGACTGTCAAGACTTTTTTGAATCACGAGGTAGACACTAATTCAAAGGTCAATTCTTGTCGAGTTGAACTACAGAAGCACCACGAACGCATGTTTCAATTGTTTAATTCGCTCTACGAGAGCGGCTCGATCGAGTTCACAGCGGAGGTTGGAGGTCAAGAGCCTGGGAGCCAGCCAAGAGAAGCGGAGGCGGATGGTGAAGAGCCTGATGGCATTTCAAGAAAAGAACAAGAGCCAGAGAGCCGATCAAAAGAAAAACAAACAGCCAGCCAAGCGGAAGAGGCAAGAACCGCGCCCCCTGTTTCCGGCGCGCACCTTAGCCCTTCGGGGCTTAGTTTCCGATGCCCCATTAGTTGTCCCGACCTCCGGGAAGTGTTCAGCCATGGCGATGGAGATGGAGAGTCGCGGAAAAGGCCTCTCAAGTTGCTGGAATTGTTCTCTCCACCAAGGTTGACGGAGAGAGCCGCCGATCATGGGATGAGGACAACAACTCCCCCAGCCTTCGACCTGGAGAACGGTTGGGATGTTTTCTGTGCCAGAGATAGAGTTTTTTTCTGGAAGGTCATGAGAGAGCAGAATCCAGACATAGTCATGATGTCTCCGGAGTGCAAGGTTTTTTGCGCTCTCATGGAAACCAATTGGAGCCGCATGGACCCCAAGGAGGCCAGGAAGCTTCAGACCAGAGGTTTAGCTATGCTTCAATTCTGCATACAGGTGGCTGAATACCAACTGTCAAGTGGCAAGTGGTTTTGCTTGGAGCAACCCACCTCGGCGAGCAGCTGGAGCACCCATGGCATGGCTTGGCTTCTTCGCCAGGAGGCCGTGATCAGAGTTTCCTTCCATCAATGCATGACTGGACTGAGACTGCGACCTGAGGGACCATCCAGGAAAGACACTTCCTTAGTGACCAACCACTTGGGACTAGCCGCCCTCTTATCGGAGTACCAGTGCAATAGAGAGCATGAACACGTTCAACTGCAGAATGGATTGCCGCATCATGCACGGGTTTATTCAGACCAGCTGATTGACCTACTTCTACGAGGTTTTTCTCTGTCCGCCGTTCCTTTGAGCTGCTGCCTGGGTAGTTTTCCTGCCGAAGTGAGCGAGGACCTTGAGGCCGACGCGGAGGACGACGAACAAGAAGATGCCCCTTCTCCTCCAGCAGCTGGGGAGCTTGCGAGAAGAGAGGAAGAGCAGTTGACAGCAGAACAGGTGAAGAAAGTCAAACTTCTTCACGTCAACCTAGGCCACATCTCGACAGAGCAGATGTTGGTCCTCCTAAAGTCAGCAGGAGCCAAGAACTCAGTGATGAGCTATGTCAAAGACGACTTCAGCTGCGAACAATGTCAGCGACAAAAGAAACCGGTGGAGCGGAGGAAAGCAGCCATGCCTCGTACGTTTTCCTTCAACAGGTACATAGGTGTTGACATTTTTTACGTTGCAATGCAGGGCAAGACCATGGCTTTCCTGAACATTATCTGTCATGGAACAAATTTTCAGCAAATTGAGTGGATTAAGGAGTGTGAAGTAGGTACTCCCTCGTCCAAGAGCGTTTGGAGAGCCTTCCTCTCAACCTGGCTGAAGCCTTTCGGCAGCCCCGAAGTGTTGATGTGTGACGGCGGTCCAGAGTTCAAGGACACCTTCGAACGGCACCTGGAACAATTTGGGATCCTTCAGGTGGTGAGCGATGCAGCATCTCCTTGGCAGAACGGCCGTGTCGAGAGACATGGAGGTTGGTTGAAAGAGAAAGCTGAGAGTGAGCTCTCCTCCGGAAGTAGCATCGTGAGGACACAAGACGATCTCCACGAACTGATGTCAGCCCTAGTTGCCAGCAAGAACAGATGGTTCAATGTGGGGGGCTATTCCCCATACCAGCTTGTTTTTGGAGCGAATCCTTCAATACCTTTTGATCTTTTGAGTGAAGCAAGTCAAGAGGTACCATGGCAGGACATGGTCGCCGAGCCCTTCGACTTGGACACTGCGGGAACAGCATTCGCCAAGTCCCAACGCATTAGGCAACGAGCTCGAGAGCTTTGCGTTCAGTTCACCTCAAGGGAAAAAGTTCGCTTGAGCACGGCGCACAGACCACACCGACAAGTTCAGTGGGCACCAGGTCAGTGGGTATTGGTTTGGCGAAGGTCAACACAATCCGGTGGCGGTGGTCACATTACACGGTCTAGATGGGTTGGTCCTGGGGTGGTCATTCTGCAAACTGGACACACGGTCTTTGTTTCCATGCGATCTCGCCTTTGGAAACGCAACACAGACCAACTTAGACCAGCCACACACTTCGAGTCTGTTGGAGCAGAACTGGCTAGGGCAGGCGAGCTACAAGGTCTTCTTCAGGCTGGGCAACGTGCTAAGGTTGGAGCTCTAGACGTGTCTATGGAAGGTTCACCTCCCGATGAGGCTTTGACGCAAGAAGTGCCAGACCCATCACAGGCACAACCGTCCGTGAGCGAAGCGCCTGTGATCTCCAGACCCTCCGAGGCTAGGGCAGTGGACCCACTGCCCACCATCCCAGAGGAGGCCCCAGTGACAGGACCTGGCGTTGGCCATTTGTTGAGGCATACTTCTCCCTTTCCCAACACGGAAGCCGAGTCCAGAGCCACCGTTTCTAGAAGGACAAGTCACTCAGAACGAACAGTTGACGAACCAAGCATGGAGCCAGGTCCAGAAGAGCAGCCCGACAAGAGACGAAGAGTGTCCACAAGCAGCTCAGTCCTAGACCAATCAGGGACTGTCAGGCAACGTGTAGCCGAAGTAGATGAAGCCGAGAACCTGAGGCTTCAAAAGATAGCAGAAAAGGAGTTGAGACGTCTAGATCGAGCCGACAGACAGGAGAGACTGCAAACGCTGCGGAGCCAAGCGGCAGCCTCCACCGACTCTCTGTTACCAGACTCAACGTCCTCCAGTTCCAGAACTGGCTTGGAGCTCCCGGACCAAGCCTCACCGGGCTTAGATAGAGAGCCCGAATTGTTCTGCTTCAGCGCATGCGAGACGACAAAAGTTTCCCTGATGGTCAAGCCAGTGAACCCCAAGAACTCTGAATTCGACATGAGCAGTGCCTCTCCTGAAGAGATCGAGGGCTTCAAAGTCTCAGATGCGTTGGAGTGGAAAACCATCGAAGACTTGAAAGCTGCTAGGGTGATCACCGGAAAGGAGGCGTCAGATGTCAGAAAGCAGTTCTCAACCAGGATCATGAGTTCCAGAATGATCCGTCGAAACAAACCCATGCCTGGCGTTGGAAATTGGAAGTTCAAAAGCCGTTGGTGTCTTCATGGGCACCACGATCCAGACAGCGGAAGCTTCAAGACTTTTTCACCTATGCCAAGTGCAGAAGCCATCAATCTGTTTTTTCAGTTGGTGCTGAACATGGGTTTCCTCATTTCATTTGCAGATGTGCAATCAGCTTTTTGCCAATCAAAACCTTTGAAGAGACCACAAGGCAGATTGTTTGCCGAACCCTGCTCAGGATTGAACCTGCCCGAAGGAGCCTTGATCGAGATCATCGCCCCAATATACGGTCTTGACGACGCTCCTTGGTTGTGGCACGAGACACTGCAGGAGTTTTTCAGCGCTCTGGATTCAGACCTTGTCTCCTAGAGTCCTGCTGGCTGATCAAGGAGGACAAAAGCAAGATTGTAGCATTTGTTCTAATAGAAGTTGATGACTTGAACATTGCTGCCACTCCGGAATACTTTGAACTTCTTCGGACCAAGCTCACCGAACGTTTCAAATTCGGCAAGTGGGAGTTTGGAGAGGCTGATTTCGCGGGTCGACATGTGAAATTTGAATCTGACAGAGTTCTCATGGACCAGGAGAAATACATCCTCGAAAAATTGCACACAATCAAAGCTCCGAAGGGGCACTACAACAACAAAGAGCAACAGCTTACGGGAGACTTGTTTGAGCAGTACAGATCCATGTTGTACAGAGTGAATTGGCTTGCACACCAGACGAGGCCTGAAGCCGCTGGAGCAGTGAGCATCCTTTCATCCAGGCTGAACAAAGCCTCACTGTACGATCTAGGTTGCTTGAATCGAATGGTCCAACACATCAAGGGAACAGCCTCTCAGCCTCTTGTTCTTCATCGATTTGACAATGACAAGATGTTGTTCATATCGGCGTCTGACGCCGGGGGAGTTGGAAGTAAGCCACCAGTGCCAGATGACCCAGGAGAGCTTACTGACACTGTGCAAGGAGCCTGGATAGTCTTCATTGCAGATCAGGTTCCCAGTGCTTCCAGAAGGGTGAAGGTGTCAACGGTCTCTTGGAGGTCAACCCGGTTGAAAAGAAAAGTCTCTTCCACTCTTGCGAGTGAAACCTTGGCTCTCTCACAGTCCTTGTCTGAAGTCGAGTGGCTTCAGATGATTGTTCGAGATGTGTTGTTTGGAGATGTCAGTAGATCGGAATGGCACAATCAAACCAGACCATACCTGGCAGTACTCAACGAGCAAGGCGAGTTGAGAGAAAGACTAGGCCAATGTTCCATCACCGACGCAAAGTCCCTCTTCGACAGCTTAGTGAAAGGAGACCCATCCTCAAGACAAGATCGTCGCACAGCGATAGAAATAGCGATAGTGCTTGAAGCTCTAAAGAGAGCGGGCTCCACGATCCGATGGTCACCACACCCCCGCATGGTGGCTGATGCTCTCACCAAGGCCGACGTCAGCTGCAGCAATGGGGCTCTAGAGGAAACATTGAGGACCTCCCGATTAAGCCTTTGGGATGAAGCTTCTGAGCTCGAGAGGCGAAAGATGAACCCGAACTCTCGGTTGCGCTCAAAGAAGGCGTCCAGCCAATTTAGGGAAGACACCACTTGGTGGGTGAACTTGACCAACAAAGATTTGGGGGAGCTGATCAAGTGTTACCTCCAGTTTGAGTGTGAAGTACCTTGTTCAAGTTCACCATAGTGTTCAATCGCCGCGGCCCAAGCTTCGGGGTCCCGCCACACCTACCTGCAATGTCTGCCTCGTTGGAAAACTAGCTCTCCGCTACCACTGGCGTACGCGTCAGATTCGCGTCGCACGGTCACGCCGACGCTCGGGTCGACCGCGACCACCTCAGACACGCCATTTCTACGGAGTCCAGTTCCACCCCGAGGCGCACCGAGACAACGACGCGGGACGGTCGGGGTGACTGGAAGATGTCATGGAAAGATGCTGGTCGTCACGAGAGGAAGTGGAATAGAGAGAGGAAGGGGGGTTCCACCGTTTGTTTCGTTCTGCATTGGGAGGAACCCAGCAAGTCTTTGTGCCTCAGTGTCTACTGCAAGGAGGATAGAAACAGTTTGCTTCGTTTTTTGCAAACGTTTCCCTTATTCGTGGGTTCTCAGAGATTCTCCATGTTGGTGGTAAGAGTAGTACGGTACGGGACAGCGCAAAAAGTAGTGCTCGCGTGGACAGTCTTGCGGTCTCGTAGTGTCGCGTGCTTCCCTCAAAGGCGTAGAATTCCCGTGGCTCACCGCTTCGGTGTATCGTACTTTTTAGATCTATTTAGCTATTTGCTGTGATGTAGTAGAGAACTGAAACACATCCAGCTTGCTAAGCATGTAGGTCACCAGCTCTCGTTTGCAGAGAACTGCTGCCAGTTGACAGACGCTAGTAGCTCCCCAAGTCAGACGCAGTCCGTGAAGTGTGGTGAGGCACTGAGGCAGCAAAGTACGTGACGGTACGTGACGGTACGTGACGTGAAGCGGTTCAGGTACCTGGTAACGTACCGGTATGACCGACCTGAACCGCCAAAAGATCAACGGCTCGATCCATCCCAAGCACCCCTGAATTTTTCTTGGTTTCTGTACACAGGTGTAGAGAGCGCAGGAGGATGTCCTGAAAGCTCGAACGCTTGAGGCCTGAGGCCTGCAATGTGAAAAGAAAGAACAGTCGTATTGAGTCAGTAGTGAGTGATAGTTTCAGAATTAGTCCTGTACAGTTTAGTGGTACCAAAGAACTTGTATTCCAACTCTACCTGGGAGGATCTTCACATCTTTTATATAGGGGGATCTATGTCACTCTTGCTCCCCCCAAACAAGGTGGAAGTACTACGGACATGGAGCTTGCGGTGGTGGAAGGCAATGTGCCAGGTTTATGTGTAAAGTGATTGTTCATCCATTGGATCCCTTTTGCTCAACCAAGCACTTATAAAGGCTTGGGCAGCTGGGTATGTTCTTTCACAGCACCAGAGACGTGGTAGGTTTTCCCATCGTCAGGTGAATTCCTCGCCCTTCAGGTGACCCACACTCCCAGCGGCGCCACAATGATCAAGAACTTCGTCTTGAAGGTGGTCGGCTGCCGGGAGCTTAGCCGGTCGATGGTCCATCTGGTAGGACCATGGCATTTCGTGGAACGGTCCAGCTTTCCAAATGTTTCTTTAAAGTGGACCGGTCAACCACGATCAATGTCGGACTTGAGAGTGGAGATGGATGTCCAGGCTACAGACATCTACAGACCCGGAGCAAAAAGTGAGACCCAAGTAGATATTTTACAAAGTACATAAGCACATCCACTCCAAAACGGTCCAGGAAGAATGTGTCGAAAGATGTTGGTCCTGTTGTGTTTTTCAGCATCAATTCAACAAGAAAAGCACCATGCACTATCATGCACTTGTACTAGAAGCTGTTCTATTTGGGGGGGCAACCATTGTGGAATCGATGAGTTCCTCACCATTCGCCCACGCAGAGGGAAAGCTTTATGGCCATGAATCCCATTCCTTTAGCGAAGATGACCCGGATGACCATTGGTTCGAGACTCTTGTCCCAGATGCAATCAGATGGATGCTGAGTCGTACCCATGGGCGATGGTGGGGTCTTCATCAACGTGTGGCCCACACCGCGGGAAAAAACCAGGTACCGGCCATCGCGGAGTAGGTTGTCGGTGGCCCGGTGGTCGGCCGGTTCGACTGCCCAGGCAAGGGCGAGTGGAACATGCATGACTTCTGCCAGAAGCAGATTGACCGGGCCTTAGCCGACCCGAACAGAACGGCCCGAAAAGAACGGCGGCCCGCACAACGAACGGCGGCCCCTTTTGGGTCAAGGCGGTGGTGAGGTGTCAGTGTGATTGTTCTAGAATCATCTACATAGCTAATATATATATATATATATATATTATATTAATCATCATACGTCGTATTCTTTTGCACTACAGAGTGCTGTCGTGTTCCTGTTCAAAATCCCGTTCCTGGCTGCCTCATCCGCCAAAGATGAATAGACTCGCATTCCCATGATGTTCACTTCTGATCGCTATGGGTCACATCGATCACATCAACTGATCGCTATGGCAATATACTTAATCAAACCAAAAGAGAATACCTTGCGTATGACATGTCAATGATGGCATACTACGGATCAAAACGCTGGGACCAGAATGGACGATTTAGCCACATCGCATCTAGCCGCATCTAGTCGATTTACCTTGGTAACTGATCCAAAGCTGAATGCTGTCCACATGGGCACCTTGGTTGGGGCACGTAGCTGGCACAAAGCTGCATCACTGGCACGTCCGTCAGGACATCATCATGAACAAGCTCGAGGCAACTGTTGCTGCAATTGCTGCACGAATTGCTGCTGTTCAGATGGGATCGGGAACTATCAGACCCTTTCTTGAGATAGCCTCTTGGAACTTGAAAAGCTTTCAGGAGCTATGCTTTTGAACTGCGGCAACTACCCTTCGTTCAGCCAAATTGAAGTGTACGGCTGGCGCAAGATGAAACTTTGGAGCTGTGGGGTTGAACTTAGCCCAAAATGCCCTGTGAAAAGTACTCTAGCCTTCAAAGACCATTAAAAGAAAGGTTGACCTGGTGTTGTAGTCCAAAATCCTCAGCAAAAGATTGTTGTTTAGTAAAATCAATGGTGGTTCAAAATCCCGTTTGTTTGGTGGCTCTAAAACAACTCTCAAATATCTCTTAGATCAGTTAGACCTCTTCTTTCATGTTGGGATTCCACATCAGCTTCGTCTCCTATGTTGCAGCACGTTCGAGCTACGTCACGTACTTGCGCTCGGTTCCACGTGGCTCGGTGCCAGGACAAGTACGTAGTGGGCGCGGTGAGCGGCGGCGTGGACTCCAGTGTGGCCGCCGTGCGGAACGCCCAGGAGGGTTGGTGGATCGAACCGGTCGTAGCCGCCTCCGGGTGGTGAAGAAAGGAGTGGTAGTATGTGGTAGTATGGACTCCAACACACCGGACTTCAGGACTTCTTGGACATGGAAGCCCGTTCCTGATTTGGCGTTTGAGCTTGGAGTGTTTGGTGCCAGGACATGGCTTGACCCAATCTTAATGTTGGTTTTTCGCGCTGGTCTTTGGGTCTCCATGGCCCAAGTGTTTTGAGAGGAAGGGAACATGAGTGTACCGAGATGTGGAACTACTGGGAAGTTCACAACAAGGACTACGCTCGTCACTGTTGTTGTGAAGGAAGTTCATACCAAGCTATAAGCAAGGATTGCGTAAGCGTCACAGCTCCACGGGCACTTTGCATGTTTTTGTTGATGCCTCAACCAGTGCTGAGAAGGAACTTTGAGGCTCTCCGTGGTTCAATTGGATTCATATTGGAAGTGTGGCTGCTCAAAACCTGAACAACTGTTGTCCTTGCTTTCGCAAGGGCATCATCATCAATCGGAAAAAAAGTAAAGAGGGATTCTTCATGGGCATGCGTGCTTGGTTGGCTAATATAACAATTCTGTATAGTTTTATGTATACATGGTATAGTATACATTATTTCCTTTTTAAAGATATGTTGCCTTTACAACATGCCTTTACAACAAGGGGTAGTTTTCTCCCGGAAAATCAGCGGCAAATCATCGCAGACCCACGCAGCCGGCTGCGCTCAGGCATTGGTGCACAAAGCGATTGGTGCCGACCCCGGTGGTGTTTTGGGCACCAGAAGATCAAAAGAATCGGACACTTTGAAACTGGACAGCTTGCAGAGTCAAGTAGCAACTTCTTCAGCACGCCGCGCTCCCTTTCACAGTGATTTTTGTTGGTGTGATGCAAGGTTTCTTTGAAGGTGAGAATCAAAAGACGCACCAGCATAATGTACAACAGTACTCCGCTGTTTCTTGCAATGTTTCAGCATGAAACTATCTACAAACGTTGTGGAAGAGGTGAGCCCTGAGCCATTGAGATCAATCATCCGATCCAGTGAGCCTCATTGTGATCTTCCAAGCTGAGTTTGTACTGCTTTTGGGGGGGGTCCACACCACCTCGTTCCGTTGGTTCCGATCTGAGTTCCGACACCTTCGAAGTGAAGACCTAAAGAACATTAAAGAACAGGTTGGTCAACACCAAAAAAAAAACAACAACACCCAAGAAATGGCTCATCCCAAAAAAGAAATGACTAGTATTGACTAGTCTTCACTTTAGGTATGTGTTCAAGTACCGGATTGCTTTCCTTGTCAACCCTAAGAACCCTTGGACCCTCCTTGGACCCTCCGAAAGGACCCTCCGAAAGGACGGCCCCGCTTCGCCCCAAGGAGATCGCTTTCGCCCCTTCATGGTGGACACGGGTCTGCTCCGCAAGGACGAGGTGGAGCAGACCTCGTCGAGGGTCTGCGGTTCGTGCCGTGTCGTGGTGGCGTTGGGTCTGCGGTTCGTGTCATAGCTGGTCGTAGCTGCATGGAGGGGGCTGCTCCGGCCAGTCACTGAGCTATCTTAGCTGTGAATAGCTGTGCCTCGATCTGAAAAATAACACAAAAAAAAATCATGATCTAGACGGGTGTTCCAAACGCAGAAGAAAGTTAAGCAAAGATGAGAGCGGTGACTGAGCTCGAAGTCTTCCCCAGGCTGAAGAATGCCCGGTGATCTCTGAACGTCTAGATATTTGTAAAGGTGTTTGCCCCCGGCAATTTGGTGGAAGACTACTTGGAAGAGCTGGAAGAATGGCTTCCAAGCGAAGCGTCCAAGCAGCAAAACTCAACCTTTCTGGGATGTGGAATGCACTAAGCAGTGCCCCACAAGTTTGCATGATTTTGCTAAAGAATATATAGAAACTAGAGTCTACTAGAGTAAAGTGGGGCTTCCATTTTTCCATGATAAAGTTGTGATACCATTCAATCGCACGTCGTTAATGTAGTGCATTGCCGATGGATTCCCAGCTCACCATCCGGAAGAGGCCCAGCCGAGTTGCTCCGGCTCGGACGTCTAAAGATTGTCCGATGCATGAAACCCGGTGAGGAGCTTCTTTCGCTGGCTTTTTCATCCCTATTAGACACAGTAAGCCAACTAGCCAGTTTCAATGATTCTGTTCACGATTGTTCAGTATCATGCCAACATGATTCCCAGTCCTGACCCCGTTTCCCATTTTGTGTTGGCCAGGCAAAGATTGTGAAAGAGCGTTTGGAGAAGCACATCCCAGGGATGAAGCTCAAGGCGGTCAAATGCGGAGTGTGGATGGTACACGATCACCGATGAAGCTCGTGGCAGTGCCTCGTGGCTCGTGGCAGCCGGAGCTTGGGGGATTTTTGTATGGACGTTGGGCGGACCTTAAGCGGGTATTAGGTCCCACCCAACTCATCATCCTTATAAAAACATATCAGCTTTGCTCTGGCGGTCGTGAAGCCGGAGCCGGCGCCAGCTGAGCGCACAGGTCCTGGATGCTAGTGGAGACTTCTACAAGGAGCTGGTCCGGGCCCCGATGAAGTCATGTCCCCTGTGACGAAGGACCAGTCGAAGGACCCATGCGCGCCGCAAAGCTCTCCTAACTCCCAGACGGCAAGTGTTGGTCACATGCATCGAACCTTTTTTCTTGGGGATGTTGGAGGATGTTTCACATCGAAGCCTTGGCATGGAGGGGCAAGATATAATAACGCCCGGGCAGGTTCGCGTTCTGGGGCAGAGGTTCACAAAGGTCGTGAGGTCACTCTTTCTACAAATTGCACCCTGCGTGGGACCCTGAAATGCAAAACACTGAAAAGTGGCACCAGCTTGGAGAGAAGTAAGGACCACACTCTTATGTGGCCCAGATTCCAGATGATTCCACATTTTGTTGTTCTCTATTTGTTTGGTAAATCATTCTGGCAGGACAACTTGCACGTGTTTTCGATCGCTGGTGTTGTATGCATGCGATGCAATTTTGATTGCCAGATTTCTACTTATCATCATCCAGAGGATTGACTTGCAGACTTTACATATACTACGACTACGACCGGACTCTTTCTTTCAGGAAATCCACGTCGAAACAGAGAACAGGATCCTTGAAACTCCGATGGCCCAGAAAAGGAGGCCCATACTTAGAGAGCAAACCTGCGCACCGGCTGGTGGGTGAATTTCTGCCCACCGGTTGCATTGGGTGAAAGCTGAGTCCGGCGTGATGGAGCCGGAGAAGAAGCGAAAGATCATCGGCAGGCACTACGGGCGGCGTCCTCCGTGGCGTTATCCTTAAGAAGTCTGGAGTCCGGGTTCATCTGGAGTTGGATCTGGATGTTAGGAAGCATATATTGGTTGGAAACAACTACTTAGTTAAATTCCTGGTTGTTGTATCGCTGTTTATGGGTAACTGTGTATAGACATGTTACATTAACATTGTATAACTCATACTTTATACTACAATATGCAGTTCCAATCACTTTTCATGATTCCAGGGTTCAGTTGGTGACCAGTGGGTGCTGGATTTCCAGGCAACAGGGAACGAAGAATCTCGCATCCTACGAACCCAGAGTGTGTATATAATTGTAATCCTATGTATGCGTGCGTCTCTGTGTGTGTGCCTGTGTGTGTGGGGCTTTGATTGAAAAGCAAACGAACCCCGGATTGGACCTAAAACGCTTGTATGGGACAATTACCCAAAGCTCGAGCCAGCCATTTGGGCATGTGGTTCTTTTCAGAGTCTATAGATGATTTTTTTTTTGGAAAGGATATCCTTCACGACTCAGCCCAAAAGAACTCCGAACAAGAATCTCATCCAGAATCCATGAAATGGTGCCGTCGTCCTGCTGCGGAATTGGAGGCTCTTTGTGGAGGCCTTTGAAAAGGCAGTCTCCGAAATGGGCCTTCCCCACGAGAGGCCGGGAGGTTTGAGCACCTAGCAGAGGCTTTTGGGTGGGGTTGAGGTAGCTCTCGGTGGTGATGGCTCTGGAATTCTTACAGTGCGAAGTATAAGTGGCTTGCCTGCTTGATTGAAGTCTTTGGAGCCCATTTGATCAGATCATGGAGCACCACCCAACACTACTTCACATGACATCATGTCTTGCAACTTTCTATGATCCAATGACATAAGATCCGGTCAGCACCTGTTATTGTAAGATATTTTTAGTCTAAGGTCTAAGGCTGTCAATATGATGCTGTCATCTCTTGGTCATGGCTGTCGTGAGCCACAGCATGCCACAACCCACGTGCCAGGTGCTTGTTGCTCCAGGGTACCTTGTACCCCGACGTCATTGAATCCACCTCCTACAAAGGTGGGGTTCGTACGGAGTCCTCGATTTGCCCTTCGTGGCGCGGAGGATGCGTTTGCTGTGGGGGGGTTGGGCAGCTTTTTGGGCCTGTAGATAGGCCAAGGGGCCCAAGCAGCGGTTGGGTCGCCTTAAGTGACTGACGTCCCTCAAGAATCCTTGGATTTTTGACGGCAGGGGTCAGACCCGACACCGCAATGCAGGGCACGGGTTTCAGGCCCGGAGTCTTCGGATTCTCAATATATAATTCTTTCAACTCGGACTTGGCGGCCTTAGATGAGCGACCGCGGCCAGCGCGCGCGTGTCTTCACGGCCAGGACCCTCCAGTGTCATCAAGACGCACCACAATGCCCGAGAGCCCATCCCGACCGAAACGTGTGGAACATCGGAGCGTCCAGTGCGCCGGACTGGGGAGGCTTCCTCTACTACAAAAGGCATCGCTTTTGGGAGCAAGGACGCTATTAGTAGCTCCTGGCATTACTACTAGGAACAAGAAACTACTAGTAACAAATAGTACACTTGCTACTAGGCGATGCACTTGTTACTAGTAGCTCCTGGCTACTAGTAGTGATGCGCTTGCGACTAGTAGCGATGCACTTGTTACTAGTAGCGATGCACTTGTCACTGGTAGCTTTTTGCTACTAGTAGTAATGCACTTGTTACTAGTAGCGATGCTCTTGTTACTAGTTCTAGCACTTCTGGTAGATTCACTCTTGGACCTGGAATCTAACTCATGTTTGAAGTTCAGGGAGGGCAGGCCAGGGATAGCTAGGTGTAGTGAGTATGTTCTGAGACACGTTGGGACGATTTCATTTACCATCATTTACCACACGATGTACAGGGTTGATTTGTCCATGCTTGGTTCACAGAAAGTCCCCAAAAGCACAGTATTGTTGCTTGCGCGCGCGGTGCCGTGTGCTGCGGCGTTGGTCTTTCGAATGGGTGAAGAATGCTGCGATGCCTGGAACCTGTGCGTCGTGCAGGTTGAGGAAAACACTTTGGGTGGAGGGGTGAGGCCACAAGAAACAGGCAAAAAACAGGGAGGAGCCAGGGGCTTGAGGAGGAGCCTTAGCTTCTTTTTTACGTGAAAACTTCACCCCTGCACGTGCCGCACTTCCGTGACCTTATCATCAAGAGTGTCGTAGAAAAGACTTGCGGCAACCATTCAGAATCGATCTTGCGCACGGTGACCCTCGGCTCATGCCACTTCCCACGGACGCGAATGCGGGAGACGCGATGGTGCACCCAACCGTTGGAGCCGTGACGTAGCCGAGTTCCCGGCGACGTCGGACCAGGTCGGTGGCCTCCCGGACCGGATGAAGATGGAGGTCATCGAACCCTTGAGGCGAGGAACGGAGGGTGATGCCGGTCTCACCGGTGAAAAGGACAAGGAGGGGGGTGGATGAACGAAGGAAAAGCCCCCCCCCATGCATGGCACTTCCATTCCGGGAGAGTGTAGAGCTGGTTTTTGGATGTTTTTGGGACCCAACATGATCAAAACAGGATGCAAAGCACACATGAGACACATGAGCTGTATTGTTTGTTCTTTTCTAGAGTCTTTAAAAGGGATGCCTGGGGAAGCTGTTGTTAGGGATACCGGAATGGGATGGAACTCCTGGCCCAGTCCTTCAACCATCCTCTTGTAATTCCTGTTTGCTCCATCGGAAAGGAATACAACTTATGTGTGTTATTGCAAGACAACGCGTGCTTTCTTGAGATCCACCACCTTTGGAAGAAACCGTTTGGGGTCCTGTTGAGGAGTCATTTCCATTCAGACAGTGCGCACATAGCATTCACTGGAATCCTCGTCACGCTTGAGGCTTCTCTTCAAGGATGAAGTGCGAGCGCTTGGTCGTGGCCTCAGCATTAAAAACACATGTTTCTTCCTCAGATACAAATTTGACCTTTCTCAACATCGGGGAGACTTCTGGCCCAGCATTGTGCTGATGTTGGTTCGGTTGGTTGTCCCCTTTCTGAATGTAGTAGGGGGGGTTGACTGGACCGTTTTCCTTTTCGTACTCTTCCATGCGAGGTCTCCAAATCGGTTTCAGTGCCTGGCATGGACCATCCACACAACACCTGGACCCCGACTGGTCATGGCAGTCCCGGGGACTGGTCATGGCGGTTCCTGGTCTTCCGAAGCTGACATTGGGCCATGTCAAGTGGGCCATTTGTAGATCAGAGATTTGGAGATATCTGGATATGATGATTTCGATCCGTTTTTTTAATATTGGTGGAAAAGCCAAAACATCTACACCTAAAGACTCATCATGAATACTGGAGTATTGTCACAGCTTAACTTGGTGGTTTCAGGCTTTGTTCAGTTGAGTCAAAATCAATGGGCCACCAATCCTGGGCAATTACATCTATACACATGCCCACTACCTGTAACAGTCGGTAAACGGTGAAAAAAAACATAACAAAAAAAAACAACACACTCTTTGAGAGATGCCGGCCTGCAACCAGGCCCCATCATCCACTGTGTGTTTAGCCCTTGGTGGGATTCCATTCTATACGCCTTTGGGCGGGTCCAGGCAACGAGCTCGGGCTGCCAGTGACCTCGGCTCCGGAGCCCAGTGGGTCCAACCTGGAGGGGCCAGCTCCTTGCTCCTAGTAGCGATGCCAGGAGCCCCTAGTAGCTTCTTGTTCCTAGTAGTAAGAATGCTACTAGTAGTAATGCCCTTGTTCCTAGTAGCGATGCCCTTGCTCCTAGTAGCTTCGTCTGGAACTCATGGAACGCTGTGGTTCTTGGGATTCGCTCGGTATTTTGCTTGTAGATGGTTGGAAAAGGTTGGAACCGAACTGTGGCCCAAGTTCAGACTCTGAATTCATGCTGGGAGTGAACTGTTCCAAAATCATGTTATATGAGTGGACTCATGTCGAGAGGATGGTGGGGTAACGTTGGAGCCACATCCAATCAATATATGGACCAAACTTGACCAAACTGGCTGTGAGCCTAGATGATTCTCATGACACAAACTGGGTAATTTACTGGCTTTGGAGACCACCCCTCGTAGTGCTCATCAAGGTGGTCCTGGAAGAGATGATTGGTGAATCTCCCCAGGCCTTCGGTGGTGATGTCAAAGTGGCACAGTCATGGGAGGTACCACTGGTTCTTCATCTGAGGTGGTATAGGAGTTTACACGCCAACACGAGTTCGCAGTTCGCCATGGAAGAACCCGAAATCATTGAGCATCTTAAAGCGCCAAGCTGTCCACCTTAGCTACAACCAATGCCCAAATGGGTGGTTCAATGAAGATTACAACCATCCAGTAGAATTACTACCAGGTGGTAGTAGGCCGGATTATCTCACCTGCAGCACCCCCTGATCCTTCAGAACATTCCTTCCACTCATCGTCTCACCCACTCAGCCACCTCCCAATCACCCGCTGGATTGCGGCATCACTTCTGGCGGCGAACTTCCTCGCAGGTGATGAGGCATCCATTCCCTGGCCCCGGCCTGGGCATCCGGATCATCGGAGAGGCCGGCTCGCAGGAGAGCACGGGTCGCACTTTCGCAGATGCGGTGCGTAGGTGGAGTCTTTTTTTGCGATGTCTTGAACGATGAGTGTATGAGTCCCACATTGAATGTTGTTCTGATTTAGACTCTTCTTCATGTATATTGTCACCTCACCTCACTCCCCAAGGTGGAAGCAAGGTTTGTGTTTTGTGGGCCTTCCTGGTCCCTACTGAGACTTCCTGGTCCCTGGGGGAATGAAAGCACCGAGTGTGCCATGGAGATGACACCGGACTCTTCACTGTCTAAGAATCCAGGCCCTCAAATGCTTTAGAGGGTCCAGAATCCGGATCCCTGTTTCCATGTCCGACCCTGGCCATGGCAAATTTCCGTAACAAGGGCATTGCTACAGCTTCTATTACTAGTAGTAATGTCCTTGTTCCTAGTAGCGATGGCCTCCAACCTAATAGCTTCTAGCTACTAGTAGTAATGCCCTGGTTACTAGTAGCGATACCCTTGTTGCTAGTAGCATAGTCACCTTTTGTGACGTCATTTGGACTCGGTCGCTTGAGTTTTGTCCAGGTGACCAAGGAGAGCGCGGACACCTTGTCCTTGGCTGACGACATCTACATCGAAGAGCCTCACTTCAATGCTCACGAACTGGTGGTATTTTGTGGTGAAGTTGCAACAAGGAACATAGACTCCCATGAAGAAACATGCGTAGGAATGGATTTCAGGAGAAGTCATAGGACACTCCCTACAAGTTGAGTGAATTAAAAATGACATGACAGGTGTGGCTCACAAAATCAGATCCAGACTTGGTCTATTTTTCTGAACTTGCCAATGTGTGACTGGGGGGTGTACTGTGTGACCAGCTGACATGAATCGGAGCCGATTCAGCAGTTTAGTCAGCCAAGTGGTTTGTCAGCCAAGTAGGGGTTCTTTCGTCTCGGCCGTCTCGGTGAGTCCAGGGTGATTGATACTTTGAAGCACCAAAGACCAACGACGGAGACATTTCAAGCCACCGCAATGGTGCACCATGGACGACTGCTCCGCTCGGACGCTCGCTGGTAGCGGCGCCATGAGTGGCAGCGGAGTTGCTCAGCCTGTGACTGTGAGTTGATGTGAGGGAGTTGCTGTGCTCAGCTTTGCTCCGTCCTTTGCTCCGTCCGGAGTAGCACTAAAGAGGATTGGAAGATGATTCTCCAGTCCTAATCCAATACCTGACATTGCTGGTTCACCCACACGTGACAGTGTCAGGCAACACATCTTTAATCATCCTAATGAAGAACATGTTTCAGGAGGATTGAACATGTCTCCGAATTGCAGGGGGATGGTGCTTGAAGTGTAGCTTGTAAACAAACGTGATCTCCCAAAACTCGTACACCGAGTGATCTCTCAACATGTTATCCCAAATGATATCCTTCTTTGGGAGTTCCTGTGCTCCTCCGACTTCCTTCCTTCGGTCGACCAAACACCCTCGAGGAACTGCGAAAGAACGGCCACTACGACAAGATTGGCCAGGCGTTCTCGGAGCAATCGGCCCAGTGGGGGTATGGGGTCAGATGGACGTCAGATGTACGTCATGGGTCCGAGACTCTGGAGCAAAGGATGCTACTAGGGCTCCTGGCATCGCTACTAGGAGCAAAGGATGCTACTAGGGGCTCCTGGCATCGCTACTAGGAGCAAAGGACGTTACTAGGAGCTCCAGACACGGGGTTTTTACACTACCCCACATGTACTGTATATTTTCAGAGTAGGTTGGAAGCCGTCGCTAGCAGATGGCATATGATGGCATAACCGCGCCCCGACATCTCTGTTAGACAGATCGGGGTCCATATATATAAACCACCCGACATTGGGGGATTGTGCCATTTACTCTGAAACCAGTGTAGATGTTCCCTGACTTGGTGAAAGGATGTTTTTTAGGGAACATCTATCCTGGGTTTCCCAAAGGTTGTGGGGATGACAAGTGGTGAAAACCATCACCCAATAGATAGATCAGAGGATAAAAGATGATTAGAACCCGACAAAACGTTTCTTTCGTGGCCATACTGGAACCGTGGCTTAGTTTAAACGTTGGAATCAAGATCCATCATTCAGCATGTGCCCATGTGCGCCGCGCCCAACATCCCTGGAAAGATCGTCATTCTGCAGATTTTACATGGCTGGTCTCATCTAAACATGAGACCCCTCCGACCCTCCCTCCAGGCCTAAAGATCCAAGCCCAGTTTTCCAGGCCACCCGAAAACGCCACCCCCGCCCCGACCGCTCTTCCAGGCCTTTGCTGTGCTCCTTCCCACCGTGCGCTCCGTGGGTGTCATGGGCGACCACAGGAGATCCGAACACGTAGGATCGACCGTGTTGGATCGTGCCACCCCACTGGGTGGAGATGGGGAAGGTCTAGTAACTTCCGGACATATGTATATAGACTTGGAAGAATCATGGAAGAATGCCACTCCTTGGAAGAATATAGGACATATTAGGACATGTTTTTGACTCCTTGGAAGAATCATGGAAGCCGATGGCAAAACACCGAAAGAATGACTGTTTCCTCTTGACAGGTGGTGCCATCCACTTCGAGTTTTTTTTTTCCAGGGAGTGTAAGACTTTAGACATGACAGAATCTGGCCACAAGCATTTAAAATTGCTGTAAAGCCGCTTGGAGTCGGATGCCGAAAATGCACGCGAAGCACGAAACGGTTTTGACATGTTTTGATCCACATTCAGCTCTATTGCGAAGCACGTGCTTCAAGGTAGTTCCTTTTCTGGATTGCTTGTGGTTTCTCGCTGCAAGGACTTACGAGAACGTTTGCGTACTCAGAGCAGTGACCACCACCGACTTCATGACGGCACCATGGCTTCATTCAAGGGCATTTTTCCACGCCAGAAAAGCGAAGTGGCAGGAGTTCCAAGGTTGGAGGCCATGGCTAGTACTCGTACGTTGGAGACCATCGCTAGTAGGGTGGAGGCCATTGCTATAGGAAACAAAGGGAATACAAAAGTAAAAACGGTGTAATATAATTTAATGTATATATAGTTTCTGTTTAATGCTTCATTCAAGGGCTTTTTTCAGGAGATCCTATAGCCTATACTGAATTCAGCAGTTCCAAGTCGGGTTTTCAGTCCCATCCAGCGAGTGAATATACAATAGGCCCCATCATCCATCGTTCGCACCCCGACATGAAACTGCTGGTTCCTTGTGCTTTCTTCCTTTCTTCCCCGTTCACTTCTTCAGGGTTCGTCTCAGTGTTTGGGAGCTGAACACGGACGGCGACGGGGCCTCGAAGCGAACACCGAGATCGTGCCGTTTCTTTTTTTGAAACCAAACCTGGGCGTGCGAACAGTTGCGAACGGAGCACTTGAACCGGAGGCTGTGTTGAGCGAAGCCTTTGGCCAAAAACCTCTGGCCATGTTGGACCTGACTCGTGTGATGTGAGGGAGTATACTGTAACCATTTTGTAACCCCTTGTAATCCAACCAACGAACATGGGATCCAATATGATCCAATCCATGCCTTTGAGATGGTCTTTCAGAGTAGCGAAAACATGCTGAGTTCGTTGATCAGCAGGTTCAGCTCCAAGATCTAAGTGGATTTTGATTGGCCCCTGAAGATGTGTAAATATACGTAGACTACAGAATGCCAATGAGTGTTGAAATGCAATTTGGGACAACTTGCTGGTCAATCTCGAAGGAAGAGCATGTAATTGCTGTACGTGAGGAGGTCAAGAGATTTGGAGGGAAGAAGTCATCTGGCGATCTTGGATCATCTTGGCGCAGGCTATGGACCCATTGGATCGAATTGGATGCATGCTATGAACGCACATACCTTCATTCTAAATGAATTGGAACTTCGCATGGCTCGTCCCCATAGTTTCAGGCCCCAAATCCGCTTAAACAGAGTCACTGGCTGCAGCTGGGGGGGGGCCTCACCGGCCTGAAATACGACCAGCACGACCGAGCCCGCCCAGGCGGATTGGTATGACATGCCACATGATGTGCTGGCAAAGATTTCCAACCGCATCATTAACGAGGCAGGGAACGGGGGGGAATTTTGCCATCTTATTTTCGGAATGTCTCTATTTCGGAGATGAAAGGAGCAACAATTTTATCAAATTCAGCAGTTGGGATAATTCTATGCATAAACGACTAACTCATGTCAATTGGATATTATATTATATAGTCTAACATCATCATTCTTTTGTACAGCTCATCAGAGAGCCGACCATCTGGACTGCAAAAGAATTGGAGCCTGCATGCAAAACGAAAGAATACGTACCCCGTTGTCTGCTACGTTCGAAGTGAAGTGAAAAACCCCCTGCGTCTGACGAGGAACCTCGTCTTCCTTCAGGACCATGCCATCCACTTCTGAAAACACTTCCATGTGGTCCACCTGTTGGCGTCAGATGTCCATGGCATACCAGTGTAGAATAGGGGGGACCTGCGTCAGTGGTCCACCATACAGTGTATGCCAGTGGTGCTCGTCAGATGTCCAGAGACCTGTGGGACCTGTCAGTCCATGTCGACACTGGGAGCGGAGCTGAGTGGCAGTTGGGAGCTGGGGGAGAGACCGGTCTCAATGGGTTCGTGGGCCCGGAGGGTCGCACTTGGATAGGCTTTTACTTGCTGCCGTTAGATCCACCGGTCTAACTAATGACACCATTTTCGCTTCATTTGGGGGAGGTTTATTGATCAAGTGTTTACGTTATATGTCTCTGGATTTTGAGATGAATCCAATTTAGGTTGTTCTGCGCTACATACACGCACCTCGGCCACCACTCTAATTTCAACGAACGTTCTTTACAATGTTCCATATGCCATAAAAACATTGCTTGGTCATTGTGACACATTATACGACAGTGACCGGGATATTACCGGATCTATCGGGATCATGGAACTACGGAAAATCATGGCATTCCACGACTTGAATCAATGATGTGTTGAAATGTTTTGAATCGATGTTTGCACACGTTTGCTCTTCCTACCAACCAGAGGTCATACCCCTGCAACTGCGCCTCTCAGAGACACGACTAGCCGGCCCATGCACTGGCGCCACCGGCTTTTCGATCACTCCACGGCGGTAGCACTTCGTGGCAGCCGCGGCACTGTCCAACGCGGCCAGGTGAAAGGAATTAATCGAGTATGCTATGACGTGTCGTCCAAGCCTCCCGCAACCATCGAGCAGGGATGCTAAATCGGTGTGAAGGGATTGGGGGTTGAGAATCTCTGGCGCCATTTGGGTGAGGAAGGCTGGAGTGTTACAAAGAAATCCATCGGCAGGGCTAGAACGATTGCGCATTGGTTGCCAACACTTTGGGCTACCATGCCATAGACCATGCAGGCTGATGTTCATGCTTGTGAAAGACACAGGAAGCTTTGCATAGGAGAGCCCGCTCACATGTTTTGCACTGTCGTACTATGTTGCACTTCAATGGTTGAACGTTGTTGATCAAGCGCCATACAATGGACATATTTGTTTTGTTTGTGCACCAACAGGGGCAGTTTTTTTTCAGAATGAAGGTGGATTAGGAACTTGTTAGCTTTGACCAGAAATGAGATTCAGATCAATTTTCGCAGCTAGACACTTCTAGACATCCGCACAACGGTCATTGGACCCCGGGACCGCAACACTTCCAGAACATGTCAGATACCCAGAGCCCCTGTGGGGCCCCTGTCTCAGCACTCCTCCGATTGTTTGGGCGCTGTTGAAAGGATTTGGTGGAGAGTTCAGGTCAGTTTCCTATAGTGTTCTATCGTGTTTGGTAAAAGTTTGCTTCTTTGCTCTTTGACATGATTTCCCACAAAACATGAACTCGGTTGTTGCTAGAGCGTCTGAGACGACCAAAGAACCGGGACGACTTTGAAGCGGCTGGTTTTCTTTGTTCCACGCGCAGGTGGGAGTGAGCTCTTCCAAGTTTCACGAAACATTTCGATTTCACTTAAGACAGGCGGGCGGCCGGGGGGGTATGCGTGTGAATGTCGGCGGCATTCGAAGCTTGATGTGGGAGCCAGTTTGGGTGTACATTGAATGCATGGTTGGCCAGGGTATCTTGAATGCAGGAGCACCCAAATAAGTCTTTGAACTGTCACGGCATGCATTTGGCTGGCTCCTTGAACCTTACTGTATATTGATCATATGCTGTACCTCTCTGGAACTTTGAGACAGAAGCAGAGACCTGGTACTGAATCACGGTGTCCTGACCTTTTGTTTCGATTTGCGTCGAAGGCGTTGCATTCGTTTCTCCAAGGAGACTGCAAGGAGACTGGACATTGAGAGTTTCTGATGTTCTCCATGGCCAGAAGATACTAGAAGCACCTAAAGGCATGTCTACATACTGGGGCCTCATCCCTAGTGGCCCTAGTTGCTCTTAGCAATTTCCAAGAAATGACCTCCCTTTTCGATCTCAAAGGCACCGAAACCCAAAAAGCCGACACAAAAGCCGACACGCCCATCATCCTTCTCCGGCAGGTAGTTCCCCGCAAGTCGCCTCGCCGGGCTGAAGAGCCTGAGGGGTCCTACGATGAGAGCAAAAGGAAAAAGAAAACAACCCTCGGCGTGTGGCCGTGCTTGGCTTCGTGTTTTTGCTCTCATCAGGGGCTTGGAAACGCGGCCCTAGTCGCTGCCGCGCGGCAGCGCTTTTGGCTGGCGGACGTCTTTAATTTATGATCTAGGGGGGGCGAAACTGGAACACGTTCTCAAGTGACTTGGTCGCCAATTCTGGTCGCCAATCGCACGCTCTTTTTGTGCCTTTAGGATCCTTCAGGATAACTCTTTCGCCCCACTTGATTCTTTTGGAGCTTTTGGAGAAGCGGCGCGGAAATCGCCCTACCCCTCTTTTGACCTTAATTTGAGAAGTGGGGGCACTTGCGGCAAAAAAAGGGCGTTGTGCGGAGTCGTGGGCCGCAGCCAGACCATTCTGAAGCAGATGCACTCGTCACAAGCATCAAGGGTTCAGGACAAGCTGTTGCGAATCTATTTGACGAGCATGTGATAAAGGGACAGGGACAATGGACGGATGGAAGCAGAATCGTACTGTCTTACAGAGTGTGAAGTATCATAATGAACGATGTTGGAGCAACCGGAGGAGAGGTTGTGGTAAGATATTCATTTGAGTAAAAGAAGGGCCAAGTTGAGCAAGTGATGTCGGCGTGGAAGATGAATCGAGCCAGCCCCTGACGACACACCGTGTTCGATGTGATAGGAGCCTGAAAGAACCACGTTTTTTCGGAGCCCCTAAGTTTTTGGCACTGCTCCTCTGCTCCTCTGCCTTGATTGGAGTCAGGGCTGAGACTGGGAAGTTGGTGTGGTCTGAATGGCTGAGGGTGGTGGTGTTTGTGCCGAGGTACCTTCCCATACCTTTCCCATCCTTGGGCGAACAGAGACCATCCGCTGGTCGGTAAGCACAGGGTGTCCCTGGAGCGGATGGCCACTGAGTGAAGTCGGACATGCCACGAGTTCCTTTGGACGTAGACCTTCCATGAGTCCAAATGGCCATGAGTCCAAAGCTCCCCCACCAAACCAATAGGTAGGTTGACAATGGTGGACATATGTTGACGTCCCTCTTGGAGGATGTTTCACTTCTTTTGGGGTCAGCCAAGGTCCACATGTGTTTTTTTTCCACGGTCAGCGTCGACACAGGCGGCGGCCTTGCTACGGTGCCCACGGCTCATGCGCGACTTTGCTCCGAGTGATGTTCTGCGTGCCTTTGCTTCCCAAATCACCGGGGATCAAAGCCAAATTGGGATAGAACGTCAACATATTGTTAATATAGAGAGGTTACTCTAGATCCCAATTGGTTACTCTATATAGAGGTTACTATATAAGCCAAGAGGTTACTCTAGATGCAACCAGCTCTCCAGAGACTGCAGGTGAAAATTTCACCAGATCTGACATGGTCTAGGATCTGATTGCTCTCTCCACCAGGAAAACAAAGCTTTGGGCGTTGATGACCAGTTCAGATCGGAGCGGATTTACAAACAAAAACATCATTAACCAATCCAAGGTCAAGTGAATCTAAGTGCCCTAAGAATCCTTGGACCCTGCCTGGCAGGGCTCGGACCCGACACCGAAACGAAGGGGTTCCGGACCCTGAACATCCTAAATTGAGCCGGACCTGAATTCTTTGGGTGAACTATGTTGCTACGCTCGTCCAAACTCACACCATCTCACACCTGCTGTCAAAGTATGTCACCGTCCTTCCAACATCAACGGCTCAAAGCCGTCTCGAATCGAGTACCGTACCTGTGCGAAAGACCACCAAGGCTGGACATGACATAGTGCGGGGGAAATCATAGGAAATCATTTCATGTTTATTAGGCCTTTTGGTGGAGCCTAGATGCCACGCACTGGCGGTCCTGGTCCATGGATCTCCTGAAGAATCCACGCCTGCGTCGCATCAGACATGGTACACCCAACCCGATTTGTAGAGGAACTTGAACTTGTCTGACTTATGGTATGAATATGACTGTGGGTCAAAAGCCCTGACACCCCTTGAAAACGAACCGATGCCTCTACCAGGGGATGTCAATCCCTCTACCATGGTTCGTATTAACAGAATAGGGCACCTGCCATTGGCAGATGCTGCGAACGCAGCTTGCTGAGCCTGTCACCTGTCGGTCCCATGGAAAAGAGACTGGTCACATCTGTCACCACTTGCCGTCAGGTGACACTGTATTGGCCCCAGCAGCCAAGGACGACCAACCTGAGTGGGGTGGCTTGTCATGGGTGACAAGGATTTCGCTTGTCCAGGGCGGACCCCCCCCATCAATTTGGCATTGTTCCATCGAATTGGTTCGTCTCGTGTGCTTTTTGGTGGTTCCAAAAGATTAAGCCAGACAGCTTCGGGGTTTACCGAAGCTTCGCGTCTAACATTGGGTGGCCAAGCTGGATTCTGGGAGATTCTTCTGGGTCCACCCAGAAGGCATTCGGGTTTTCCCAGAAGGCATTCTGTAACACAGCAACTCCAAGCGAGAGCACTCTGTGTGAGAACAACATATGAGAGCACATCCAAGCGACAGCTCCTCGGAACAAGTGCCAGGAATACATCCTTTGCAAGTGGTTCAAGTGCTTACAAGTGAGACTATGGTTGATACATGTTGAAACTAGTGGACGCTGTAAATCGGGCGCCCGCCACAAAATGCCCCTGGCGGTAGAAAGTGATGGAATAAATTATGCATCATTTGGCATTCTGTATAAACACTGCTAATAGCATCTCAGGAGGCTCTTCTTTGAAGAGGTAGCAGAAGTAGAGGCAACACCTTTAAAGTCTCTAGATTCTTCCCTTGATGCCACCTCAGGCCCGCTGTTCTTTCCCTCTACTTTCCAGTGATGTCACGAATGCCAGGAGCTCTCTTCCCGCAGCGTTTTGAGCCTTTTGGTGTCCTGGCCAGGAAACATGCCCAAGTAGAAGAGATGGGGTTTGGAGAGGAGCAACAATAGGAGCAGCACCTATTTCAGCAAGTTGCTGGTGTTTGCCGCGGAGTCCCAAAGCTTAATCAGGCGGTTGTCACAATGCCAAAAGACAACAGCCTGAAGACCAGCATGTGTTTTCTCCCTTTCGTGACAGTCGTTTTTAAGGCTGTTGCCTCCTCTTCATGTGCCTTCGTTCTCATGACGAACACAAATGCAAGATCTGGACGTTGAAGCTGGATCTTGGTACATCAGATCCTGGCGTGACAGTCGTTTTGTGGCATCATTTGTCTCTTTAGGTGATGGATCGTCACAGGGGCGGAGGACGATCCCAAAACAGCATCAAACCAGCTACTTCTCCAAGGAACGCATCATGCAGCTGACCACGACGCTGGTCGAGTCATCGGTGCGCAGCGATCAGACGTGCCACCGGTAGACGTGCGGGCCGCGCAGGGAAGGGTGAGAGGAATCCTGATGGATCCTGGTTTTGCTTGAGGCTATTGTTTATTCTGGGTAAATTCCATTAAATCCCCAAACCTGGGGAATATCTAGTATTTTGTCCAGGTTTCTTAAGCAAATCCAAGGAATGGGGGATGGATGGGGATGGAAAGAAACCGGAGGAATAGAAGGATTGGAGTAGATGATGGAAGCCAATTTGTTGTCGTTTTACTTATGCAGATGGATTCTTTTGAGGAAAGAACGTGGCAGCTGCATGAACCAAAGTTCGACTTTCGACACGCGTTTCTTGGACAATCTGTCACCTGACCCGCATTCCACACAAATGTCCTGGATTGGCAGTTTGACTTGAGCTTCTTGCCAAGAGCTTGCAAAAGTCGTGCATGTATGGTGCATGGGGTTCGACTCCACTAACTCCCGCGAACTCAACCATCAAGCAATCCCAAGCAATCCCCCCTGTTTGAGTATAGATGTTGTTCAACCGATCTCAGCACGACCTCCAAGACCAGCACGTGGACCTGGATGTGTCGAACTGAAGGATTTTGGCCGTGGACCCGCAGCCAGATATCTACAAGCCATGATGTGGCGCGTGGATGGAGCAGTGATCAAATTGTAGTTGTTGGAGCGTTTAACTCTTCAGTGGTTTTGATTTTGAAAAAAAATGATCTTTGAAGCCAACATTTGACCTCAGGAAAGACGAAACCTTCTTGCATTCATCATGTTGAGCCTTAGAACCATTCTTCCAACATGTTTTCCACTCCAAGCTCGAAGAGGTCGAGCACCCACAAACGCACCCGCAATCCACACATGCCAGGACTTGAGGTCCCCTGAAAAAGATTTAGACCCCTCGTTTTGCCCAGTTTGGGTCTAAAGCCGCTGATCCACCCAAACTGAGCAACAGCCATGCCATACACCCATCTTGCTGGTCATCTTGAAGTGATCTACGGCCAAGCACCTGTGGGCCACCTGCGGGTCACACCACACGTTCCAGAAAACACGCAGAGACGCTCGGGAAATCCCGCCGGACGCGAGCGTCGGAAGCCAGCGGAGCTGCTGCCATGTAGACAAGATGAGGTTTCGCAAAACCAGCGGAGCTGTTGTGGACTGCACAGGTCTCTCA